CCGGTATATAGGTAGTTACAATCGTCGCACAACATAATTGTAGACCTTTTAACTCTCGCGTGCCCTACCATAAGGTCTGTTTTAGTTGACAATAAGGGGCCCTTTATCTATCAGCAGACCTATCTTCGGACCTTAGACATTTTCGAAAATTTCTAAAGGAGCACGCGAAGAGGGTGAAACGCTCCGGGATATCGTTTCCTCGTTCGTTTCACACGATTCGATTGTAAACGCCAACGTTGCAATAGTTATAACGAAATCAGGCGCGCGCTCTATTGACGGGTCTGGTGAACCGGTTCATACTCATCTGGTGCGTCCCCAGTATGTACAGATTTCCCTTCTGACCTAGACCGAAAACAGTCCGGGACGAACGCGCCGACCGCCCAGCACGCGGCCACTTCACTCGGTCCCCCCGACGGGGCGTGCGGCACCTCAACGGTCGGGGCGCGACAATAAAGGCCGCGGACGCGTCGACTCGATGCTGTCTGCGCGGCGGACGTGACAAGATGGCGCTGCGGCATTGCTGGAGTTATAATCGATAAAACGGAATATTATCGATTTAAAAACAGTTTTTTTCCGGATCCGTGAGCACTGAGCCGTATATTTTATAGTTGGACATTTCAAAACTGGTTTGTTTACACGAAAGATCTGTTTTATCGTTGGTTATTTAATATTAGTGTACCTAACGTTATTATTATCACTGTCGAATGGCAATTTAGTTATCGGTTACGTTGCCCCTGAAGTTTCGGGCAGGAGGCGGCAAATTACCAAATAACAAGTGCATATGTTGACAGTTTGTATTCGTCCATAGAAACGTTTTTCGGAATCGTACAAAAATTGTTTAATTTTTTTTCTAGTTCCGTCCTAAGATGGGATATTTTCATGGACAACCTTCGTTTATCTTCAAACGATTGCGGGAACTACAAGGTGGACTTCAAACCAGACATCAGTCAGAGCATTAAACTTACAGCTGTCTGATTTTATTAAAACCGCGAAGCATTATCAGCTGAAGCTAAATTTGATGATGAAAACTTGTTAAAAGCAACAAAAACATTTTCATTTATATGTATGTTAACCGCGTGCGTCAAAATTCTTAGTGCAATAATTGATCGAGTAAACACAATTTTCACCAACTTAACGATTGAAACTGGGAAAATCGAAAAATGACCCGTTTAAAGTACCACCCCGGTCGGATTTCTTTTCGGAAAAAATGCTACCATTGTGAATCGGAGCGAAATTTCTGGTGGAATAGTTGTGCACAGTCAAACAAAAATAAACACCGTTGTAAAACCAATACGTCGATTGTGGATGATTTTGTTTTAAAAACCTTAAACGAACTGAACGTTCCGAAGAATATTGTTCGAAAAATTGAACGGCAAGTTTATTAAAACTGTATTAATGCAAATTGATATAACCAATGCGAACCGAGGTCTGTCAGTCTGGTAAACCTATTTGTTAGAGTTTTATAACAAAGTAGGCGCACAGACGCGCGGTGTTTATTTACAACCGTATTCTCGTTACCGTTGCCTAGGTCATTTAACCGTGTTTTCGGATTGTAAATATAATAGAATGTTAATTAATCGCGCGGGGACGGGAGGAGAAGTATTCCGTGCCTCCCTTTTGAAAAAAAAAAAAAAACCTAAATATACTACATGTTATTTTAAACGTGTCGATGCGATTGAAAAAAAAAAAAATCCAGGGGTAGTTTAGAAGGAGGGGTAGGGCGATCCGCCCGTCACTGTCAAGAGCGAACCGACATACGGGTAACGACGACTGGCCAACAATGCGCTTTATCATAATTATTACTATTCGAAATGTTATGAAAAATGTATTTTTTTTATTCACTCGGATATTATTATATTATTTTGCTTCGATAACGAATCGATAGTATAGTATATACGAGTACTAGCAATTTTATATTCGAATTCTTACAAAAAAAAAAAAAAAATAACTAAATAAAATAAAATACTGTGCGCGTTAAACTCAAATTTTTCTCAATGGCCCTTTAAGCACGACTTATAATGAACCTGCTGTTAAATTGTCGAGCATATCTTTTTGAATTAACAATTTTATCCGCAGAGTACGTACCGAATGTAAATTACCTACGTGAAAGACTCGCAAAGTTGATGTGTCTAAAAATAGCGCAAAAATGGCTCAAATGTTTTGGAATTCTTAACACGTCTAGAAAAGGCAAATTTAAGTTGACTGTTCAAACTTCGAGACTCTACGAACGTTTTAACTCGAATTACAACACATAAACGAAAAAAAAAACAAACAAACAATCGAAAACAATGCGTTTCGTAAATTTTCTCGTTTTTCCCAAGTTCTTAGCCGGCTTTTCCCATTTATCGCGAAAAAAGTTGGGAAAATTCGAAGAAAAAAAAAAGGGCCGCCGATGACGCGGATCGCATACCGCTGTTATTATTGTCGTCGTTGTCGTTACGATAATAATACGAGTAGAAATACCGGGCCGGGCGTCGTCGCGCGCCGTTCGCCGCCCCTTCTTGGACGCGTGCCCGACGACGACGGAACTCCGCGCGTCGCCGCCGCCGCCGCCGCCGCCGTACGGATCCCAAATACACGCGTATAATAATATTATTATTATTGTTACGTGTGTAATTATCGTCCGGCCACGGCCGCGGAGTCCCCGGGGGGGGAGCGAAAACGACGGCGGCGGCGACGGCGGTAACACGGGCCGTCGCCGCACTGGTATCGCCCGCGCGGTAAACCTAACGAATCGGCCGATTTTCGACGCGGCCTCGGCGTGCCGTTCGTCCCGGTTTCGAGGGCCGCGTCCCGGTGTCCCAGCCAACGAGAGAAACTATCGTTCGATGAGATCGCGGTGGTACGATTTTACCCGTTTTATGTTTTTTTTTTTTCTTTTACATTTCGACCGCGGTTTCACGTGCCGACGAATTTTCGATTCGAAACCGGCCGCGCAACGCACACGGAAAACGTGTGCTGCGTTCAAGAACCGGGACACGGTTACCGGAGAAAAGTCGCGGCCAGATAAAAAAAAAAAAAAACAAAAAAATAAACACATTCGTTTAAACCATAAACCTCTTCGCTCCACTCCAAATCTAATACGTTGAATTCGTTACGCAGCCACAACCGCTAGACAAGCCGCGTTCGTTTTGCTTTATACTCGGTGCGCTTATTCACGGCGTCGCGTTTATTAGTTTAGCACTACAGCGCACGAGTTTTGTAAGTTCGTACAACGGTACGGACACGATGGCCGTCACATTTCACGTTTAACCGAATTATATTTTGCGCGTCTACGGAAAATCAGCGTTTATAAACGTTTGTAAGTCGCGTTCAAAATACGATTATCGCACGGTATACACGCATTATAATTCAGTTAAAATTAATACGAAAAATAAAAAAAAAATAATAATAATAATAATAACAACACAAACAATATGCCTACGTATTTACAATTTATTGCACTCGCGATAAATTGTACACTAACGTAATAGCTAACAAGAGATAATCGTATACGAAAAACATAATGAAAATCGCAAAACTAGACAAGTCTAAACGCCTTCACGCGTGTTACGAGAAACATTGCGTTTGCACAATTATTTACGTTCATGTTAAACGAACGACATAGATTCAGACCCGTATAACATAACACAATTTTCCGACCAAACACTTCGGTAACACTGGGAAAAACTGTGTTACCGTTTCGTTTGTATCTGGTTGTGTGCTCGTGGTCTAACAGAGAGATTGAATTCGTAAGTTTATACAAATCAAATAGAAAACCGACAAACAAACATACAATTTTATTTTCAACAAATTTCTGACTCTCGGATAACTCTCGGATTTTTTTTCCGAATCTACCGAAATCGTATCGCCGACAAACGATCGAAACCTTAAAAACTTTGATTATGTAAAGGTTTGAAAACACTAATATCCCGGCGTGTGGCGATAGGTTCTCGGTTCTTTTGAATTCAGCGTTAAACGCTACATTTTATTTATACGTTTTAATAATTTCATATTTCAACTTTATATTATTGCGCGCAACTGTCGTGATAATTGCATTTTAAATAAACGTTTCCGTATGCTGCGCGATTCGAAAACGCACCGCGTTTATCGACAATCCGACCTCGACTCGGATTTGTTTTTGTTTTTTTTTTTTTTTCGTTTTTGCCCGTTTTAATCCCGACCGCAATTATTCGTCAATCGCCACCGCAACTCGGACCCTCCCAGAGCGACATTGTGTAATATTTGTTTGTCGTTTATCTCTGTCTCTCTCTCACTCTCTCTCTCTCTCTCTCTCTCTCTATCTCACTCTCTTTCTCCGTCCCTCTCTCACTCTCTCCTTGTACACGCACGCCTATTGCGTACAGGATGTCCGCGAACACAATCTCGTACCCGGCGCAACATCTCCCGAGATAACAATAGCGTGGTGATAATCGAATTCCGTTTTATATCTCGTACCGACGTATACACGCGGGCGGTACGCGCGTCGCTCGGATAATCTCGAAAAATAACGAACCCCCCCCCCGGGGTTATCGCGTCGCGCGCACGCTTTCGCCGCACCTGGGGGACCCGCGACGCATGTAAACGTCTTTATACGCCCGGCGCCGCCGCCCCTCATCCCGCTCCGCCTCGCCCGCCCGCCCGTCGAATCTCCTTTGTGCACGTCGCGGTATCGACGCGGCGTATGCGTCCCGTGATAGATTGCACTTTCGCGGCGGCGATACGCGACCCGCGCCGTCGAGCCGACCCGCGTACAGCGGCGAACGGAAAGAAAACGATACGCACGCGAGACGGCGCGCGATATTAAACCGCGATCGAACGCGTGCGTATAAGGGGGGGGGGCCGCTCCCCACCCCCTAACCCCCCGCCGCCGACCGCCGCGGAGATCCGGCGGACGCGATACGTTTTGTCGGGGAAACAAACGCGCCGCCCGGCTGTATTCAATGTTAACACGAGCATGTGACGATAATATACGAGGTGTGGCTATTAAACAACGAGACTGGTTACGAAAAAGTGTTTTATTATAAAAGTTGTTCTGCATTCAAATGCTGCCCTTCAATATGCTCCCCTGCCCTCGCCACACGCCGTTTCATTCGTTTCTTCCATTGCTCGAGGCAGTGCCGGAAATCTGTTTTCGTAAGACCGTTCAGGAGTTCCGCCGATTTTTGTTTCACCTCTTCCATTGACTCAAACCGGATTCCTTTTAAGTCAGACTTTATCTTCGGAAACAAGTAAAAGTCGCAGGGTGCCAAGTCGGGTGAGTAAGACGCGTGTTCGAGTACTGGAGTGCCTTAAGCGGCCAAATAACGCTTCACGTTTTATCCTGGTGCAAGATCCACGGCTTGTTTTTCCACAATATCGACCGTTTCTTACGAACTCATTCGCGCAATGTTGCCAAAACTGTCAAATAGTAATGTTGGTTCACAGTTTGACCCTCTGGAACCCATTCAGTCATCACGATGCCGTTGATATCGAAGAAAACGGTTTTGAATTTGGATTACGACTGAATTGGATTCCGGTGCACTCTCGACCTTCAGAAAATAATTTATGCCACTCAAAAACACGCGCCCGAGATAGGAAATCCTCACTATAGGCCTCTTTTAACAACTTATAGCACTCAGTTGGAGTTTTTTTTAGTTTAACGAGAAAATTTTACGTTTATCCGTTGCTCATGTTTTTCGTCACACATGGTTTTCGGCACGAGAAAAAAACACGTTCGTTTCAAACCACTACTGCACAAATACCATAATAGTGACGAAAACGTGTTTTGGTACGTGCATAGATAATATATCTAGATACCCGGCGCATTACTCGTTTTTTTCACTACCCATCTAGGGCGCCCTCTAGGCGAGCAGTCTCGTTGTTTAATAGCCACACCTCGTATTCCGCGGGAACGAATCCGGCGTACGACGAAAAGTATTGTGTACGCCGCGGGTGACGGCGTCGGGTGGCGGACCGTCGGACGCGAAATATTGAATTCGTGCGATATTCGAATGCGGGCGTATATTTGAGAGTATGTCTCTCGTTCTTGTTCGGCGCGACGTCGCGACTGTGAACGCCCAACCAACGCGGAACAACGAGATCGCCGTCGGCCCGTAAAAACGGTACTGTCGAGAACGCGGTCACGTGCGACGTTGCCGTTTGTCAGTGGCGTGCGTTGTTGTATACGAATATTTTTAAAAAAAAAAGTCGTCCCGGGGCATAACGGGAACGGGTGCAGCCGCTGTTTTAGGCCGAGAAGTCGGGAAAGGTGGTTGGGTGGAAATTTAATTAGAGGTTTTCCCGATAGGCGATAAAAACCGGGAAAATGAACGGAATGCGGGTATTAGAAAAAAAAAATATCACGGCCTTTTTTTGTGTTTTCGCGTCAACGACTTTTCTACGAGCAATTTCGCTCCGATTTACAATATAATAGCACTTTTTTTGAAAAAGGAAACCTATCTGGGGTGATACGTCAAGGATGTCGTTTTTTTTTTTTTTTTTGATTTTCCCCGGAATTTTTCCGACGAACGGAAAAAAACGTGTGAAAACTGGAGACCGAGAAATTAGGTACAATAATATTAAACAAATATTATTAGAGAAAATAAAAACCTGCATACGTAATGATTTTACCACGATGTGACAAATACATTGTTCACAGAGCGGCACAATTAACCGAACTCCGCTCAGAATAGTTTTTCGCGGATACGGTCTGTACGATCTGAAAACCTTGTGCACTCCTAGCCCGTCGATGCGGGATAACCGATATCCGAGAAAATAAATACCGGGAAAATGTACTCCGGAAGGATACTCGGCGGGAAAATAAAACACGGGCAAATATTCCTGAGGCACGTAAACTTTTGGAGCTGATGCGGTTCTACACGGGAAACAGACATTCGGGAAAATATTTATCGGGAAATGATTTACCTGAAAAGATATTGCATGGGAAACGGAAATTCGGGAAAAATATTTTACTCGGGATTGCAATAATTGTTTAGCCATTACCCGGTATTCTCGGGTAATATTTTTCTGCGTATAATAGTTCCTCCGAGAGAACGCGTTTCCCTAGAATAATTTTCCTAAGTAAAAACACCCCTGTTAAATATTTTCCTGAAAAATATCATTCTTCAGCGACATTTTTCCGTGTGCTGTGCGCGTCCCCGCTCTCGTCCCGTCAAGTGTTTTTAAGTTTTTTCTTTTTGAAGCGGAACATCTTGCGGCAGGGTCTGAACTGAAAAATTGCCAAAGTCGACCGTTATGTACGGTCGCCGAGTAACCCTCCACCCGCCCACTCTCTGCGCCAGAACAGCTCGGCAGTGGCGGCGCGCGTTCGTCTCGTTTGCGGTCGGCGAAAACTGGAGGCCTACTTGGCGGCCGTATATACAGAGGGGGTTACAGCGTGTAACACGAAACACGTGGCCTGTTCTGTTTGCTCTACCGTTTCGGTGCCGCTATTGAAGTGCGATCGTGGAAAATCGATTTGATGCGTTCGATTCGTAATCTTTTGAAATTATAATATAATATTATAACGATTTGACCACAGAAAGTACGAATCGTTTTGATCACCGTGGTTTTTGGCATTATTTTGTTAACGGCATTTTACTTACTTCGCAATATACACGGTAAGCCGTGAACCTCGCTATAGCTTTCACACGCCTACTAAATTCCACTCGAAATGACTTCTGAAGATGGTACTTGAAGTAATTCCCTTTTACCGGGAGTCCTACGAAACACTCGAATAGTTTTTTTTTTTTTTTTATTAACAAATAATAACTTAAGCCTTGCGCTATAATTCTTATATTTTATACTATTTAACGAAATTCGAAAAATCGTAGACAATTAAGAAACGTATTTTTAAAACCAACATTGTTGTTTTGTTGTATTTGTTTGAAAATAATTTGAATATCGTAAACGAATAGTTTACTCATTCTAACTTTGAAATATTTATACGAAAATCATAGAGCGAAAAGCTCTGATAATATTATTACAAAAAATAACAACTCAAAACTATCGATCAGTAAAAAAAATAATTCGATTTATCGGATTTCCGCGCGACGCGCTCCGTATAGTAGTATAAGTTCGGTACTCGTCGTGTCTAAAAACGAGTTCGTTCGGTATTATTTTATTGTTTGTACAGTTTTACCTATAAAACCCATCGATCCGAAGACAAACAGCCCGAAACGACATTTCGATTCCGCGGGAAACCCTTACAAATGGCCAATTAATATAACTGACTGGCCGATAAACCGGGAGAAAGTCGAAAAGACCATCAATACTCAATGTCCGCGTAACAGTAGATAACGAAATGTTGCCTGTGCCGTTTATCGCGATTTTAAACGACTCTGATAATAATTCGACGGTTACACGGCATAAGGGTCTAGGCGACACATTTCATATGATTTTCGAGTGAGTAAAAAAACATTTATTTGTGATTTTAACATTTTTTTTTTTTAGATTAGCAATTATTTTTTTCTGATTGAAATTGGCAATTTTATCATCGAATGGTTTTTTTTTTTTTTTTTGATTGTGCGTCTTTAATATGAGAATACGCATTATTGATTAGCTTTCGTTGTCGTTTAGCCCCTATATAATCGAGAAGACAAAATAAAAAGTATCGTTTATACCGCGAATTTAAAATTCAAATTGTTCGTTAAAGAATGGTCACAGCTGTTTTTAAGCACGCGCAATGGACGAAACACGTATTTCCCCGACAAACAGTGAAGTCATGTCGGTTAAACTCAAAGTGTCGCTTAGACACTTTTGTCGTGTCACCGTCGAATTAAAACAATTGTGTTTCAACATTCAACGGTAATAATTGCGCTTTTTCTGTATCCGTGAAGACATTTTCGACCCGAAAACGCTCGCTTAATTTTCTATATAGCCGCTTTCTTGAAGCATTCCGAATCTATAGTAAGTGCGATTTATGTCGGTAAAGCTGTTTCGCTTCGATAAAATAGATCGACGGTTTGATACGAGGTTCCTCTTAACAAAAGTTGTCTTTAATGTTTTTACCGGTAAAAATGGAAACATCAACCGCGAGCAGCAAGTTTCATTACTAGAGTCCAATTTTCCCTCGCCTTTTTTTTTATACAGGGTAATGCACATAAATGTGGAAATATTCTTCGCAAAATAATAAACACCCGAACAGGTATGATAATAGCAATGAAATATACTATAGTATACCACAATAAATTATACTACTTGAGGAAAAACGATGAAATTTGATCGTATATAAACGACAACGGGTGATGGGGTTTACAGGGTGGAAAAACAGGTGTCCTCTGCAGATTGTCGGCGGTTTTGAGCGACGCGCGTTACCTTCTCCACAGGATATGTCCTTTTCGCGGACATTATAGGTGTATGTATAAAATTGTATAAGCTATGTTTAAAAATATTGTGTTTCGTATATACGATTAACGTACGTACGTCACATTTACACGATGGTTTTTCACGGGGACGTCATCCCATTTCGCGACGTATTAACACTTGCGTATACGTATCAGTGAAAATTACATTTTTCCTACAACGTATGCAAGATCTACAAGTTTATTTCGATTTTCTGGGAAATGTTCGAAACCAATTTTGTTCATATTATAATAATATATGTAAAAGAAAAAGAAAAAAAGGAAAAATATGAAAAAAAAAAGCGATTTGATTAAGTGGATGTGACATACGATAGTATTGCACTACTCTTTCGGCGATATATTTGTGTTCGACTTCTAACGTACCGATATTTATATATTTGCATTATATTATTATGTCGTTGTCGATTGGCTGCTATTTGGATAGGATGTCACGGTACGAGTTTCGATGTATTTCATTGCAATATTATAATCTGACCGACTCAGACGATATATAATATAATCACGTCAAAGTTGCAAAAACAAAAAAAAAACCGTATACGATTTAAACATATTTAATGCGTGTTTTCTTTTGTTTTAATCATAATTTTTCGTACTCATCGTACTATATAAAGAATATAAAGATCATACGAATATACAGATTGAAAAAAATGTTACATCTTTGTCCAAATGTACTGTAGGAGTCGTTTATTTTCGTTTCTATTTTAATAATGAATAGGAACTGTATAAAAACTTCACTTTTCGGAAAAACGATAGTAATTTTTTTAAATTGAACTTATGAACGTCTAAAACGTTTTAAATTTTAAATAAAACGTTTCGGACATTTCGCGATCCTAATCACGGTCGTAAGAAAAAATGTAAGAGGCTCGTAAATTTATGTACTTGGCTATTTATTGGCTACTTATTTTTAATAATAATTGTTTTCAACTATAAAACAGAACACTGCGAACACAATTTCTCCATTTTTGAATGCCCTATGCTTCAATTCGTATCGCACGGTACGCGAAGGAGGAGATGAGGGGTTAAAAGCTAAAACCAATGAAATACGTAAAATCACAAAATAACTGTGGGTTTCAGATTTGTTGAACGATCGGGGAATAATTGTATATTCACATATTATAATCTTTAGTATTATTGCGCGTGACGGGTGAAACGGTTTTAAATCGGCTCGAAATCGAAGTAACTATGTCGGTTCTGAATTATTATTATTTTTTTTTTTTTTCTATTGTTGGCGCGTTTATTTGTGATTTATCGCTCGTCAGGTGTTTTCGAGAACACAACACACTGTATAATACCTATTACACAAGAACAACAATACCGACTTGTGCAATAGTTGACGTCGTCGTCTCGGCATATATTATATTATTCAATTGTCGCACGGTCTAATTTGCATGTAGATGGGTATAATATTGTGTACGGTGATCAAATATGGGATTATCATTATTATTATTATTATTATTGTCTCGGCAGACTTGAGAATGATATTCCGTCGCATACGTCGTTTGAACGCGACGTATATACGATTTTGTATTAATGGGAGTCCGCGCGTACCTGCGACAAAACCGATGCTACAAAACCGATATTACGCGGCTATTGCTGTTGTCGGAGGAAAAAATATGTCAACGTATTATTAGTACGTCCACGGAATTGGCCCACTCAATTCACCCAATTTCATTAAATTTGCGAGCCCACTCCCGGAATTCGCGAATAGCATTTACTCTCTCTCCACACTCAACAGGTAGGTTGCCCAACCGCTTCGTCCGATTTGTTCGAAACCCGTATCAACATTTTCATATTAATTTTAGAGAATTTGCAAGCCAACTTCAAAAATTTGAAAGCTCGCACCTGAGCTTTCGGTGACTCACAAATTCCGGGAGTGGACTCACGAATTCTTGCAAATTAATACGAAGAATTTGATATAGGTTTTAACGAAATCGGACGAGGTAGGTGGGCTTCCTGAAGTTGGCCCGTGGAATAAATTCTACTCGCAAATTTTGGTAGGGGACTCACAAATTCTCGCAAATAACTCGCACAATTCGATCATCGGTTTCAATGAAATTGGATGAAGTGCAGGGCGGCTAACCTTATAGACGTAATTTTATTATATTTTGCACTCCATTTTATAGCGAAGACAGTACTTTATTGACTCGCGTTTTCGTATTGTTTGACTCGTGCGGATCGAACGGAAAATTAAAACTTCGGCCGATCTCCTGTAAATCCCGCCATACAAATCAAAGCCCGTAAATTATTATCCGACATTGCCGATTATGTCACCAATATAACGGTGTACGCAGCGGCTGATTTTATAGGGATGCGTCGTGGCGATCATCCGCCCTACCTCTGAGAATTTTGTTTTAAATTGTTACTTGAACGGTATTCGTGTATACTCAATGCCGTAGACTGAGAATAGTGAGGGGGGCGGGTTCTATTGGTGTACGTCTGAACGTTATAAATATGAGTGTATAATATAGTACATACTTAAATTAAACAAATAAATATGGAACCTCCTTTCCCTGAATTTTTTTTCCACTGATCGGACGATAATTTTAATTTGTCTAACTACAAATATTATTCCATAATTATTATTAATCTGCAACATGCAAATAGAAAATAAATAAATATTAAAAAAGTGTATAATCAATTATTATTAATTCGGGATTTTCGATAGGTAAAAGAGAGTGGGCCAAAGTTAGACAGTCTAAATAAACAACACTACAGTCGTTCACCCTACAGTTATAGATAGAGTTGTTTCTAAAGTATTTAAAGTTTCAAACGAGTATTCGAGTAATTAACAAGACTTTAATTAATCATATTTTGTACTTTATATACGCGCATTAATAATCGACCAAATCTAGAAGACTGTGGAGCAGTGCTTATCAAATAGATAACCGAAAAATACGTTTCGACACGTGTCTATACAGAAAACTTAGCGATCCTCTAGTCATTGTTTACATCGTGTACTTGTACTTTTAAACTACAAACCCAGCGGCTGCAGGTACTTTGGCGAGAGTTTGCGTATATTTTCGAGGGCTTTTAGACGTACAGAAAAACCATGACGTGGACCGAGTATTTTCGAGTAAAACTATCGCACATGGGACTGCCGAATCGCGAAAACCGTCAAATTGAGAGCGCTAAACGTTAGACATTTCAAAAGGACTTAGGCGCTCGGGGCGTTATTCCCGAGACACGCGATAGTTTTGGAAAAAGAGTCTCGATTGCGACATCACACAATTTACGACTTATATATATATAAGTATATAAGTATATACTAAATATATATATACATATATATATATATATATATATATAGAGAGAGAGAGGGAGTTTTTGTGCGAGTGCCCAAAGTTTAAACCTTTACAGATATTATCGTGTCACACTATTATTATATATATATTGTCTAATGCGGTTTATATGATTGCGTTAAACTCGCCTATACGACGGCGTAAAGGTATGCGCACGCAAACCGTTACTTAACCGAACGGAACGGGAAACGCTCGTTTTTCCCGATACGCTTTTCGATGGCCCGGCGGGAGCACATTGGATATATTTGTTCGTCGTATTTTATAAATTATTTTACATTAAACATTTAATGATGTACGGGCACACGATCGAATTCGCCAAATGGAAAAATAATATCAATCACTCGAACGCGGGACACGCGACGTTGTTGCAGGTTGAGATTTATTCGCCGGTTCAAATGCGCGGTACAACAACAGTAATAATAATACTATTGGATACAATGTAAGGCTTTGACGGTGACCTGCACTGCTGCTTATAGGGTGGTTGGCCGTTCCGGGGTCGAAAAAGATAACCGATATTTGTATCCAGACAGAATTATATGGAGATAAGGATAACGACTAAAGAATATGCATCAGAGATAAAGATAAAAGATAATTTTCCGTTGTTGTACTCTAGTTTTCGTAAAGAGACGGTTGAATGCAATTTATAATAATAAGATAATATAATGGTAATACACAACAACGATATTTTAAGAAGGTACACGAAATTTAAATCCGAGACACGATTACAACGATTGATCTACCCAGAATCGTATACATGTCTGGGATGATTTTAGGGTCAAATCGCTAACCATTGTTTTTGTTTTTTTTTTTTTTTATAATGTACTGAAGTTTGTATGTGGGTATAAAAGAACGATACTTCTCATGAAAATCAGTCGCTATCGATCGCCCTCCTCCCTGGGAACAATAGTTATGTGTACGTCACTGGACCTACCCGCGGTGCGGAATGTGTAGGATTTGTTTGAAATTGTATGTCTTTTTTGAGCTGCTTTTTGCTAACCTAACCTAACCTCGAAATACTTACGGCCCTAGATGTAATAATTACACGCTATACAACCGCAGTGGAATTTGCCCAAAATATAAAATACAATATCCGTAAATATTTCTAATTAATTTATAGTGCTCGGCTATTCTGGTTTCGCAAACGGTATAGGTACCTCTATATACGTATATATATATATATATTTCGTACTAACAACTGCAAAGTGAATTATATACGTAATATTATATTATGTGCTCGTGTTACATGGATATTTATGCAAAAAAGAAAGCATTACATTAATTACGGACGTAAAATATAATATACCTAATTATTATTATTATTATTATTAATATCGTGCGTCGTGTCGTCCGGATTACGACGATGTAAAACAATTTTGTAATTATTGCTGTCCGCGCCGGACATA